ACAGAATGACTCAGGAATTTTAATTTATACAGGATGACTCAGCTAAATGAGGTCACCCACAGTACTGTGAATAATTATAAACTCAAAGTAACTTCTACATTTCACTGATATCGAAACAAGAATTAAAAAAATCTATATTTGTATATTTCCAGTTTCTATTATTTTTAATATATAATATATGTATAATTATATATATTTAATATATAATTAATATAAATATACAAATACGGCGTTTTGTTAAATTTTTGTTTAAATATCACTAATAACGTAAAAGTTACCTTGAGTCCATTTATTCCCGATGTATTATGTCTATCGATATTCTGTACATATACATTCAGACATATATGTATATTAATGTACAGAATATCGATACACTTCGGACGTGTCGCCATCGATACCGCGACCTTTTTCGTTTCGATTTTCGATCAGGCGTAATCAGGATACCGTTTGCCCCGACTGGCAGGTGGTCGACTTTTTGATTTACAGCACGGATTCGCGTTTCTCCTGCGAGGCAAAGGTATTGGTTCTCGTTGGAGCGGAGAAAAGGCATGCCCTGGTAGGTGGCACGATCGCGGTGTTCTCGTGCCCCCTGAACGGAGATTTTCGCGAGATCGCTGGACCTGATCACGCGATAACTACTTCGTTTCTCTACGAAAGCCTGTTCGATGAGGGAAAGTCGGTGCTCGCGGTCCCGTATCTCTCGAACGAGTTGCATCGAATCGAATTCGAGGTAAGGGTGCGCGAGTCGCTCTTCAATTTTGATTTATTCATTTATTTGCAGATATAAATCCATTAACATACAATTGTTGATTATGAGAGATAGGATGAGGGAAATAACACCAAGATCATGAACATGGTTTCGTTATACATTCGGCATAAGCTTCTTCGCTTTGTTGCCTTTAAGATGGGTCACCGTTTTCGGAATTGTACTATAAGTGCGGTCCATTAACTCTTTGCACTCCGCTGTCCCCTCTCGTGGGACATTAAAGTTTATTAGTGATTACGGGGAATTGAGTTATTTCAGCGCAACTTTTTGAGACATGCATATTTCCCTGAAGTTTTCTCTTGAAATGGCACAAGAAATCAAATCAAAATATTGTAAAATTACTAAGATATATACAAGAAATGTCAGCGGGTTTTGACGAGAACGTGAGAGGCGTGCTCACGACGGTCCGAGCACTTCAAAGGCGCCACTTGAAAAGAGCGATAAGGCAAGTTTGTAGAAGAAAGGTCGGTATGCGAACATAACACGCACTGTATAATGAGATTTATAATCATAAAATCTGGAGCAAAAGATTTTCAAAGCTGAACTCAGTCTGGTTTGAAGCGTCGAGCGGTATAGATAGATCTAACGAATGAGAAAATCGGAAAAATGATTCTTCTCTTGGTAAATAAATTGTTTGGTAAAAGTTTTTTTAGCAAATATCATCTTGTGAGTTAGTAATAACAATTAGAAATTTTCAACCTATGTATTTATTCATATTTTTTATTAGAACAATGGCAAAACG